TCGTGGCTTAAAACCTCACTGAATGGGCTACAAAAATTCATGAACTTCAGCCACATTTACACTTCATGCATTATTGCATGCAACTTTTCTTAAATTGTTTGGAATCATTACCCTCATTTCTCTTCTGAATACATTTTACATTTTTACTTTTGAAAGCCCTTGCATGCATGAGATAATCTGGAAAATTTCAAGAGCTTTTGTTATTTATTTGATTTATTAGAATTATTGCTAAAACCAAGGGCATAAATCATATAAAATACTTCCAGAGGTCAATAAATCCTAAATAAATTCATGGATGATACTTATGGGGAATAATGACCCTCACCAAATTTCAGCAATTTTTGTTACTGTTTAATACGATTTCTAATTTTCTTTTATTTAGGACATGATAAATTACAAAACCACTTTTTAGGATGTGAAAATTGTATCTAACAATTTTCGCATACCTTACTTGTGATGGGTGACTCAAGAAAATAATTTCAAGATTTTTCATCATGTCTAGCTATTTTTCCCAATTTTTGGTAATTATAATGGCTTAAAAATGGGAAAAATAGTTCTGATTATCCAAAATTCATGAAAATTTGCCAGGATATCATATTATATAGTAGGAGGTTACATAAAAATTTTGAATATTTTTCTCCACTGTAAACTATTTTTCCTTATTTTCTAAAGTTAATTGCACTAAAATTCACTTAAATATACATAAATACCCAAAACCAGTTTATACATTATGAAAACCACTTTTGATATTTTTCCCAAGATATTTATACTGTAAATGATGTTACAAAAATTTATGGTAATTTATTTTAACTGTTTAATAATATTTCTTTAATTAATGACTATTTAAAGGAATAAACAAGGAAAAATACAAATAACCACTGAAAAATATATTTTATATTTTTCCCAGCCTATTTATGTATAATAACAATTAAATAAAAAGTTTGGGTAATTTTGGAAACTGTTTACTATTTATTTCAATTTTTATTGAAATAAATGCTCAAAAATTATAAAATATAATTAAACAGCTTGGAAATCCATTTTTATAATTTTCCCAGCTTAGTATTGTGTATAACAGTTAAATAAAAAGTTTGAGAATTTTTATCCTCGAATGCTATTTTTCGTGAATTTATGTTGTTATTGAGACTTAAAATTTGGAAAATTAACCTTCCAAGGTTGTAATTAATCGCACGACTTGTAAAATTTCAATACATCAGAAAAAGTGTAACAAAATGATATAAATCCAATACTAAAACTAAATTGGCATTTCCCTATATGTAGAGTTTAGTATATTAGCATTAGATATCGACATGGAAACTCACTAGTGCGTGTGTTTGGTGTCGTAGGATCCGGTAGTAAACGTTGGTGCATCCCGAAGTACCGCTTGTGTCTACACAAAACATCGTGAGTATTCACGCACTCCCCTATTTTCGGTTTTTATGTTTTGGGGTGGAAAAGCATGTCCAGAAAAACTACTGTTTGCATGTTGTATTTAAATTGAATTGTATCAAACATGATTGCTATTGTATTGCTATGTTTCTTTATGTATGTCTATGCAACACGGAACATGAGAACTTATCGTACTAAGGCCCTTCCCTTATCTCTAACCATTAACTCTTTGAGCCAATGGTCGTTATGGATAGCGCTATTAGGAATTGACAACTCCTCACTCGCCCGAATCGCTGGAGTGCATGATACCATATTCATCTATGGAACGATAAGCATAGATCTCGATAGGGCTTCAGTCATAGGTTTGGTTGAGACTCATTGTTTGCTCATACACATACAAACTCGTTTCTCGTTATAGCAATAAACTTGTATTCATTAATAGCAATCAACTTGTTTATCATTGAAGCAATGTACTTGTATTTACGAAAAGCCTTATTGTACGCTCGATTTTATAAACTTGTGATACTCACCAACTATTTTCATAGTTGACGCTCGTTTTACATGCTTTTTCAGGAAATAATTAGTAAGTGGATGTAAAGATTCATCATCATAGAGCATGCTGCATCGTGTTGAAGCTATTATGAAGCTATATTTTGAACAATGTTATTTTGAAAAACTTGTATTTTGTTCTTTTGAAGCTATGGGTTGTAAACTTTTAAATACTGCTATGGTGATGTATCTTTATCTTTTGCAATGAAACCGTTATCGCTGTCATACCTTGCGTTTCCGCTTTAGCGGGGTGTGACAGAAGTGGTATCAGAGCTAAAGTTATAGAGAACATCGGTTTTTCTTTAAGAAAACACAACCTATAACTAAAACTTACAAAGAAATTCCTTTTACATCAAACATATTACAAGTATAATTAGGTTGGGAGTTGTATTATTGGACCTTGATTAAACATAGCCTGATCACCTATGTTTAATTAAGAAAAGATTTATACAAAGCTTGAGCTAATTATAATGGGAATATGTTCAACAAAAATATTTGAGAAAACCTTATTTAAAAATTTCAAAAGGTTAATTTTGGTGTGTGTAAGCATTGCATATTATAGGCATGCATTGTCATTTATTTCATATCTCATTGAAACTATGTCACAGTCCACTATGTCAAGATCGTCATCTTCCCGCGCTACCGCCTCAGCCGATGAATCCGGCTACGTCACTGTTATCCCTCGACGTAATCCCCCCGCCTCGATAGAAGAAGACCCATCAGAGGATACGGAAGATACTGGGAACTCGGTGGAGATCAGCAATGACACGCCCCGAGTCAACGACGCGAGGCATCACCGACATCGGTGTTGCCACAGCCACCGCTCTATGGACTTCGCATTCGGAGGACAGCGAGGAAGAGTGTCCCATTCCAGGAAGGATACCCGCCAGCACAGCAGGACATGGCACGGCAGGACCTAGCGGTAGGACCCAGCGATGCAGGACCAAGAGCACCCTCACCTCAGCAAGTCATAGGGATACCTGTCGACAGCCAGGTATGACCCCGGAGGAGTCCGGAGATTGCAGTCGATAGCAGCAGGCCTACGTCACAGTCTCGCTGTGACAGCTGGGCATCGAGAAGTTTTGGATGAAGTCTTGGCAGGAATGGAAATCCTGTATCAGCATTCGATGGAGACTGCTGACACTGCTAGTGCTGCTAGACGAGAGGCAGGTCATGCGATGACAGCATATTATGTGTTTGGTGGGCTGTTCCTGATTGTGATGTGATAAGGATGGGAGCATTGACAAAGGAAAGCTCTAGTAGCAAGAGGAAGCCAGCAGATCAGGGAGAGAAGAAGTATGGAGGCAAGTCAGGGAGGAAGTAGAAAGTCTCAAGAAAATTTATGTTAAGAGCCCAGGAGCAAGAACCAGTGAAAACTCAAGGACAAGAAGTGCAGGAGCAAAAGCAGTACTCAGGGCCGCTTCCGAAGTGCAATAAGTGTAACTTCCATCACAAGGGAGCTTGCCCGGTGTGCCAAAACTGTAAGCAAACAGGCCATTACTCGAAGTATTGTAAGGTGAATAAGGAGGGAAAAAGGACATGTTACGAGTGCGGGAGTATTGATCATCTCCGTAGAGCATGTCCTAAACTGAACAATGGACCTGGTAACATGGACAAGGCCAAGCCAGGCAAAACTTTCAAGGAAATCAAGTTGGACAAGCCAAGAGGTGTAGCCTTTGTGATTGGTGCAGAAGAAGCTCGTCAGAACCCTGAAGTGATAACAGGTACGTTCCTCCTGAACAACCACTTTGCATCAGTAATATTCGATGCGGGAGCAGATAGGAGTTTTGTTTCTTTAGCATTTAGACCGTTAATTGGCTTGAAATCGGTAAAGATGAGGATTGCATATGCTATTGAACTTGCTGATGGGTATGAAATTAGGGCTAGTGATATAATTCCTGGTTGTACTCTGAATTTAGCTGATAAACTCTTTAGCATTGACCTAATTCCTATAGAGCTAGGTAGTTTTGATGTGATAGTAGGGATGGATTGGTTATCCAAAAATAGAGCAGACATTGGTTGTTATGAGAAAGTCATCAGAGTGCCTCTCCCTAATGGAGAAACCCTTATCATACACGGTGAGAAGCCAGGAAGAAGTTTAAACATAGTATCAAGCGTGAAGGTTCACAAGTACCTGAAGAAGAATTGTATTGCATCATGGCCCATGTGCTAGAAAGAGAACCTGAAGCTAAGCAACTCAAGGAGATTCCAGTGGTTCAAAACTATCCCGAAGTATTTCCGGAGGAATTGCCCGGTCTACCCCCTTATAGACAGGTCGAATTTCGGATAGACTTAGTTCCCGGAGCGGCACCGGTAGCAAAAGCACCATATCGCCTTGCACCATCCGAGATGCAAGAACTATCCGGACAACTTCAAGAACTTCTAGACAAAGGGTTTATTCGACCAAGTTCTTCACCTTGGGGAGCCCCAGTGTTATTCGTCAAAAAGAAAGATGGTTCGTTCCGAATGTGCATTGATTACAGAGAATTGAACAAGTTGACAATCAAGAATCGATATCCCCTCCCTAGAATAGATGACTTGTTCGATCAGTTGCAGGGCGCTTCCTACTTCTCAAAAATCGACCTTCGGTCAGGGTATCATCAGCTAAGAATTCACGAAGAGGACATTCACAAGACAGCGTTTAGAACCCGTTATGGACATTATGAATTCTTAGTCATGCCTTTTGGACTAACGAACGCACCCGCTGTATTCATGGATTTGATGAATAGGGTCTGTAGACCATACCTAGACAGGTTTATAATTGTCTTTATCGATGACATACTTGTTTACTCGCGGACCAAAGAAGATCACAATAGACATCTAAAGCTAGTGTTGGAGCTGTTGAAGGAACAAAAATTGTATGCCAAGTTCACTAAGTGTGAATTTTGGATTCGGGAAGTACATTTTCTTGGTCATGTGATCGGTGAAAGAGGAATCCATGTAGATCCAGCTAAGATAGAGGCAA